ACTACTACTGTTACTACTACTACTACTAACTACTGTTACTACTACTACTACTGTTACTACTACTACTACTACTGTTACATATACTACTACTTTTTACTACTACTACTACTCTGTTACTACTACTACTACTACTGTTACTACTACTACTACTGTTACTACTACTACTACTGTTACTACTACTGCTACTACTGTTACTTCTATTACTACTGTTACTACTATTACTACTGTTACTATTACTACTCTTACTACTATTACTACTACTGCTACTGTTACTACTATTACTACTACTACTGTTACTGCTACCACCACTGCCATCAACTCCTCTCCTCTTCCTCCTCTTCTTCCTCCTCCTTCTCCTCTTCCTCTTTCTTTTACTCCTCCTCCTCCCCCCCTCTGTCCACTACCATAGTATCTGCTGTCCCTACCTACCTGGAGGGTATTCCGGGGATCAACGGCCCCGCAGCCCAGTACATGACCAGACCTCCTAGTGGATCATGGTCTGATCAACGAGGCTGTTACTGCTGGCCCCACGCAGCCCAACGTACGAACTACAGCCCGGCTGATCCGCCACTGACTTTAGGTATCTGTCCAGCTCCCTCTTGAAGACCAGCCAGGGTTTTCTTATTAATTCTCCTTATGGCTGATTGGAGGCTGTTGAACAATCTTGGACCCTGGACACTTAGGGTTTTCTCCTAGTGTATTAATGGCGCCCCTACTTTTCACTGGGGGTATGTTGCATAACCTGCCAAGTCTTTTCCTTTCGTATGGAGTGATTTCTGTGTGCAGATTAGGGACCAGTCCCTCCAGGATCTTCCAGGTGTAGATTCTCTCTCGCCTGCGCTCCAGTGAGTACAAGTCAAGTGCTTTTAAGAGTCCCCAGTAGTTAAGATGTTTGATGGAACTTATATGTGCAGTAAAGGTTATCTGTACATTCTTTAGATCTGCAATTTCACCTGCCTTGAATGGAGATGTTAATGTACAGCAGAGAGAGAACAAGTGATTTAAAAAGGATCATCATTGGCTTGGCATCTCTTGTCTTGAATGCTCTCATCTTCCATCCTGTCAGTTTCCTCGCAGATGTGATAGTGGCACTGTTGTGGTCCTTGAAGGTGAGATCCTCAGATATTACCACTCCCAGGCCCTTCACATTACTTTCCCACTCTATTGTCTTCTTCGTTGCCCATTGGAAAACTTGGTTTATATCTTCTTGGAGATTTGCTGTGTCCTCAATGGATGACACACTCTTGCAGATCCTAGTATCGTTTGCAAAGGATGATACGGTGCTATGGTTTACATCTCTGTCTATGTCTGATATGAAAATAAGGAACAGGATAGGGGCTAGTACTGTGTCTTGTGGAACAAAGCTCTTCACTATGGCAGCTTCCGATTTAACTCTGTTTACCACTACTCTTTGTGTTCGATTGGTTAGAAAGTTGAAGATCCATCTGCCTACTTTGCCAGTTTTCTCTTTAGCATGCATTTTGTGAGCTATTACACTGTGATCGCACTTGTCAAAAGACTTTTGCAAAATCTGTGTATACTACATCTGCATTCTGATTGTTTTCCAGTGCATCCAAGACCATATCATAGTGGTCCAGTAGTTGCGAGAGGCAGGAATGACCTGCTCTGAACCCATGTTGCCCTGGATTGTGCAGTTGTTGGGAGTCCAAGTGGTTTGCAATCCTGCTGCTTAGAACTCTTTCAAAGATTTTTATGACTTGGGACGTTAACGGTAGTGGTCTATAGTTCTTAACTATTGCTTTGCTGCCACCTTTATGGAGTGGGGCTATATCCTTTGTTTTTCAGTGACTGTGGAATCTTGCCTGTGTGTAAGCTCCTTCTCCAAAGCATGCTTAGGGCCCGTGAGAAGGGTTTCTTGCAGTTCTTAATGAGCAAAGAGTTCCGCGAGTCTGGGACTGAGTGCATGGGCATGTTGTCAATGGCTTTCTCAAAATCTAGTGGAGTTAGGGTTATGCCAGAAATTTGGCATACATTGACAGGGTTTTGAGATTTATTTATGAAAAGTTATTTGGATTGTCTATCTTTAGATAGATCAGTGGCTCGCTGAACACAGAGTCACATTTAAATTTCAGTATCTCAGTCATTTCTTTGTTGTCATCTGTGTAGGTTCCATCTTGTCTGAGCAGGGGCCCTATACTAGATGTGGTTTTCCTTTTTTTGGCATATGAAAAGAAGTATTTCGAAATTCTTTCAATTTCACTAATCGCTTTTAGTTCCTCTTGTCTCCTAGATCCTGTATGAGTCCTTTATCTTAATATCAATATTTTCCACTACCCTGTTTAGAGCTTCCTTCCGTGTTTCAGATATTTTAGCATTCTTGAGGAGCTCAGTGATTCTCTGCTTCACTTTTCTCGCCTAGCTTGTGACTTGACTATGATCCGGGACTAATGGAAACATCGACATAAAGTTGCTTTCCTAAGTGCAGGTTCTTTCTGAGTGGCGTCCGTAAGGAACACAGTAAACATTATAACCAACGTAAAACTGCATCTTCCAGCGGGCTACGGACATCAATTTGAAGTTCATAAGATAAATATTAGTTCCCCAATATGGAAAATTTTAAATAAAAGCTGGAATAGAACATAAAACAATCTAAATGAAGGATGAGAGGTGAGTAGTATTAATTGTGAGAGGTCGGGTGTGGTAGGTATGGCCTCCCCACCCACATGTAATAAAGCGTCCTGAAACGATAAAATGCATATACAGTGCACTCATTATTTACCTTAAAATATTTGTCGTCTTAATGTAGAGTGAGGTGAGTAAATGAGATAAAACGAATAAACGAGAGAGAGAGAGAGGGGGGAGAGAGAGAGGGGAGAAGGGAGAGAGAGAGGGAGAGAGAAGGGGGAGAGAGAGAGAGGGGAGAAAGGAGAGAGAGAGGGGAGAGGGGGAGAGAGAGAGGGGAGAGAGAGAGAGAGAGAGAGAGAGGGGGGAGAGAGAGAGAGAGAGAGAGAGGAGAGAGAGAGAGAGAGAGAGAGAGAGAGAGAGGGAGAGGAGAGAGAGGAGAGAGAGAGAAGAGAGAGGGGGGAGAGAGAGAGAGAGAGAGAGAAAGAGAGAGAGGGAGAAAGAGAGAGAGGAGAGAGAGAGAGAGGGGAGGGGAGAGAGAGAGAGAGAGGAGAGAGAGAGAGAGGGGGAGAGAGAGAGAGGAAGAGAGAAGGGGGAGGGAGAGGGGGAGAGAGAGAGAGAGGGAGAGAGAGAGAGAGAGAGAGAGAAATAAAGAAAAAAAAACACGAGTAAATGAGAGAGGAGAGAGACGTGGAGTATATAAACAAGCAGACGAACGCGTCTGGTTATGGTTCATATACGTTCACGCTGTATAGTCCTTGTGGCTTAGCGCTTCTTTTTGATTATAATAATAACATATACGTTCATTTCCATGTTTGTGAGTAAGTAAATTTTTCTTCAGGTACACATAAATACAGTTACACAGATTATCATACATAGCAGTATATGTGTAGATTACCTAGCATAACCCAAAAAAAAGTCAGACTGATTTATTTCCATTGGGGTGAAGCATATACCATAATACCAAAACCTTGCATTGTGTATAAGTTGTCTTCACGTTGTTACAGTAAAATAAATGAAAAGCAACACTCCCATTCTCATGTAACAAACCATTTTTAGAAGGAATGAAGCTCTGAGTGAAGGCATACGAAAGGAATAATTTTCTAGTTAGCCCTCAGTAATATTGTGTATGCATTTTCTTTGGTGTTGGACTAGAGAAAACGTTATTCTTTCAGACACTCAACAAGACGACTGGAAAAATATCTCATATTTATGTTAATTTATTCTAGTGAGTGTATTTATCATGTTTATATGTTACATAGTCTGTTTATTATATAGTTTAGAAAAAAAATATCATAGGTGCATTAATGAAAATGTCTATACGACGTTTAATGCGCCTCAGTGTGATAATTATTACATATTATCGTTATTAATATGGTGTCTTCAAGATTAATAAGACACCCTTAGTAATAATAATATCTTTATTTCTACAACTACATGTACACAGTCTTAGCTAACATCAGTTACATACTACTGTATAGAAAGCTGTTGTTATGCAGAGCATTTCGGGCAAATTAGGTCAGTTTTGGCCCAGGATGCGACCCACACCAGTCGACTAACACCCAGGTACCCATTTTACTGATGGGGAACATAGACAACCGGTGTAAAGAAAGACGCCCAATGTTTCTACCCTCGCCGGGATTTGAGCCCGAACACTCGCCGTGTGAAGTGAGAGCATTAGTCACGGGGCACCTCGGGTGACCGTTTTAGCATGTCAGGTGGGGGCAGCCGTATAGCAAATTTTGGTCATAATTTGAAATGTCCGTATTAGCGGAACGCCATAAAGCAGGGGGCCTACTGTACTCAGAATGTTAGTGACAAAGTGTTTGAGATGCAGGGAGACGGAACCAGGAAATATTGATGACAGTTAAAGATGCAGACGAGGCATAGGGACATTACCTGAAGATGCTTTCAGGAGTCACTGCCTCTGGGCTGTGGCTCGTACGTTGGTTTGCGTGCAGCCAGCAGCAACAGCCTGGTTGATCAGGCTCTGATCCACCAGGAGGCCTGGTCACAGACCGGGCCGCGGGGGCGTTGACCCCCGGAACTCTCTCCAGGTAAACTCTCTCTCCACGTCCTACTGCAGTTTCATAAGGTAGGGATTGGAATGCAGTTTCATGAATGGATACGATCGGTTCCTGGAGACCAGGAATCAGTATAACAGGTCGATAAGCATAAAGAAGCAGGCCCGGGAGCTGCCACTTGACTTTTTTTTTTTTTAGGTTTATACAAAATTATGCATATTATGAAAAACATTCCTTTGGAATTTTTTTTTTTGGGGGGGGATGTATTTTGACCTTTGAATGTGTTACATGCATTATTATTGTTAATATGTGGGCAAAAGCATTAGGCATGTATGGGTTATCGATCACTGAACTTATTGTATATACAGTGAGTAATGTTGTTTTGTTCCCCAGAATGAGCAAGTATCTGCGTCAGTCATCACTGTCAAGAGTGTGTGCTGTGGGAGGCTTCTTCATCTCTGTACCTGTATTTCTCACAGGTATGTAACACACTAGATTTATGTGGAATGTTGTTTATCATTAGGTATGAACACAATATATTACATGTAATACTCTACTACATGATATAACCTCCAGGTAGATAGGTAGACTGACCATCTTCCATGGAGGTAGGGTGACCCCCCTCCAAAAAAAAATTAAATAAATAACTAAATAAACTCTCCATCATTCAGATTGTAGGCACTGTATTTCCCCCCTCTAACACACAAGTCTGTTGAATCCTGTTGTAAGTGTTACCTTCCTCACATCCCAACAGCACATCCAGTCCCTAAAAACACTTCACTCTAAGATGCTCACACACACCTGCTGGGTGATCAAGTCTGTTTTCACTTAAAACCTCACAACCTAAGATGCTCACACACACCTGCTGGGTGATCAAGTCTGTTTTCACTTAAAACCTCACAACCTTTCCTGGGACAGCCTCTACCCCTTCTTCTTTGTTTTAAATTTAAAACACACTGCTCCATCCTCTCCAAATGACCAAACAACCTCAACAACACCACAGCCCTCCATCACAGTGCCAGATCATTCAGGCTGTGATGAATGTGGGGGGCCAGTGGGACACCAGCATCAACATCATGGTTGACTAGGAAATCGCCAGATGAGCCTGGCCTATGGCTGGGCTCCAGGAGTAGAAAAACTCTCGGAACTCATCAAAGGTACCATCGTCTAAACTTCTACACTCCAAATTTTCTGTGCATAATATTTACACCACACATCGCTCTCAAACATGACATCTTCAGTGACTCCACTCCTCCTTCCTGAAATGTTTAGAGCCCATGCCTAACACACATGTAAGAGTGTTGGTACCACAATACTCTGGTGGAACGAAATTAAAGTTGATCCTATTTTGTAGTGTATCTAATCTAATCGAAGTAAGTTTGGATAAATATACATGTACATATGGATTTATGTAATATACTGTACGTCAAGCCATGGAGGCACTTGTACCTTAAACAACCATGGTGACATTACTGTACATTAAACAAACATTGAGAGAGTGTAGATCCTTGTCTAAGGCACAAACAAAAAACTGTTACATGCTTGCAACACACAGTTGGGGTCACACTCCTCTCATGCTTAAGAGTTGCAACACTATGCACTGTGCTCCACACATTCCCAACACTTAACAAGATTACTTTCTATCCTATCAAGCCTTTTCCTCCCAGTTCCTTAAATTTATCCTTATTATATTCATGGGGAAGAGCTAAACTCATAGGGGTTATACAGCACCTGGCTTATGGGAGGCAGGTTTGATCCGTGAGAGGGAGACTAACTTCTGTATCCTTCAGTTCATCAAAAAGTTACTTTCCTAAATAAAAATCTAAACTTTCATTTTTTTTTTATCAATCATTCCAACACTTAATCTTCACATTTTAGGATTTCTTTACTTTCTTGTCTTATTTCACACTTTTAACTTTCTTTTTTTAACTTTACACTTGATCCATTCACAAAAAATTTTGACTTCTCATTTTTCTAATTTATTCCATACCTTCCTATCTCAACTATGAAACTGCTGCCTCAATGCCATCATCTGTGTTCATCAGCTGAACAAAGTAAAGTACATTTCCCACTTCTTGAACACTTCCATAACACTGTCTTCAGAATGAGTGCTACCAAGTGCTGATGAATAAGTAACACTGATATTATTAGCATGATGGAGTCCTCATGTTGCTGATGATCTTCACCTAGCACTAAACCTGTATGGATCATAACACTGCCTAGAGCAGGGGTTCTTAACTCGGGGTATGTGAATCAAATAATGGGGGTATGGGCATCAAATAATGGGGGTATGGGAATCAAATAATGGGGGTATGCAAATTAACCCTTAAACTGTTCACACGTAGATGTACATTGACGTGCGGCAGGCTCCGAACGTAGATCGACGTTTTATTTTTCATTCCTTCAAAATTGGCGCGATGGGCCTGAGTCGCCTAGGGATGAGAGAATGGGTGTGCACACTCAATGTGCACAGATTGAAAAAAGTTTGGGAAGCTGGGGTATCGCGTGGTAACACCAGTTAGTTTCAGCTCCATCTTGGGTCAACAACGTGGCAAACCCCCGTGATTCACTGACGCCTTGTCATATTAACACACTACTATTCTCGGAAAGTGATACAGAATGTGAGTTTAGTGGTTTTGACTCCGATATAGCCACTAAAGATCAAGGAATTAGTGAAACTTTTGTTGATAACCCAGATGACCCTCAGGCCATGACCTCTGGAGTTGCTAGTGTTACTTCCCAAAGGCAACTCCGCAAGATAAAATTATAATTTTCCCTGCATTTGGGTGATGATAGCGAAAGTGATATAAGTGGCGATGAAGAAATTGATTTTATGCTGATAGACAATTCGTCGAGTGAAAGTGATTATTATTATTCCCCAGTGAAACTTACTTTTAGGCGTTGTAACCTACGTTCAGGCAGTGTGCCATATGTAGTCAGCGGCAAGGGTCGTGGCAGGTCATGATCCAAAACCTCAGCCACTGATAGTGATAATGAAGGTGAGTATACTGGGATGGAGGAAGAGGGGGGTGGCATGGTGCCTGGACCTTGTGGCGCAGTGGGTGGGCAGACAAAGGACAGGCCGGCACTCTCTTAACCATGTGCTGCCTCCACTCCTGTGTCCCCTCCTGCTCCCCCCACGCCCCATGCCACAGGTCCACCCTGCACCATCTGATCGCGAATGGAACTGGACAGAAGGTACACCATTTGTGCCACATCTTTTCATTTTTGATACCAGTGGAAGTGGCATCATGCCACACTGTCCCATCACAAATGAGTCTACAGAGTTAGACTATTTTCAACTATACTTTGATGAGCCAATATTGAACCTAATTCTTACCCAGACCAACATGTACTACTAGTATACAATGGACCACACAGATGTTTCAGAGTCTTCACGGCTGCGCAGGTGGAAAGATACAACTGTGGCTGAAATGTATTTATTCCTTGGCACTGGCATGCTTATGCTACACACAGGTAAGAACAATATAGCACACTACTGGTCCACAGACCACTTCATCAGTACTCCAGTCTTTCGTGACCTCCTTCCCTGCAACAGATTCACTCTGTTGCTACGAATGTTGCACTTCTCAGACAGGAAAACGCCAAACAGAAATGACCTCTTATACAAAATCAGGGAATTGTTTATGTATCTGAAGCAAAAATTCAGTGCCTACTTTTATCCATTCAAGAACATTGTTGTCAATGAGTCCTTGGTTCTGTTCAAGGGACGACTGTCATTCAGCCAATATATACCAAGCAAACGTAATTGCTTTGTTATAAAACTCTTTTGTTATGTGCGACTGTGAGACTGGTCTTGTGTTGGATGTCATTATCTACACAGGGAAAAATACACTCGGTGATACCAAGCGCATGTTGGGCATTTCTGGGGATGTTGTTTACAAGACGATGAGGCCATACCTTGGCAAAGGTCATACATTGTACACAGACAACTGGTATACAAGCCCTATGCTCACTGATTTCCTATGTGTGAACAATACTGATATATGTGGAACAGTGAGAGGAAGTAGAAAACACATGCCAAGGTTCACTGGAGGAAGTCTAGTGGAAGCGTTTCATGCCAATGACATCATGGCACTGACGTGGCATGACAAACGGGATGTGACGTTGCTGTCAACCATCCACAGAAACGAGATGGTACAGACAGACAGACTGAGCAGGTTCAACAATGAACCTATTGTAAAGCCAGCTGCTGTCATTGACTATACGAACAAATTGCGTCTAGTCGACAGTTGTGACATGATGATAGGGTTTGTTGACTGTGTACGTAGGGGTCGCAAGTGGTATATAAAAGTGTTTTTTCCACCTTGTAGACATTGCAATGCTCAATGTATGGTACCACACCTATACCTGTCATTCCACAGCGACCTGTCACCCCACAACAGCAACCTGTCACTCCACAAGAAGAGGGGGATGTGCCGAATAATCCCAAACTGTCACTGCCTGATAACATTACCATCTACTCCAAAGAAGTACTCTCAGAAAAAGTGTGTTGTGTGTGCTTACACTAAACAGCGACCCCCGAGTGCGAAAAGACACATGATGCATGTGTCAGCAATGTAGGGTGGCACTCTATATGAATCCATGCTTCTTGGAGTACCATACAGTGGTGGACTTCTAGAAACATAAATGGGACTTGTAAATACCTTGTATATATATGTAAATAATAGTATGTGATTGAACCATGTGTACAAATTCATTTATCAGTGTGAACATGTGTGTTTGTGACAGTATGATTACTAATTCAGTACCAAACATTTGTCTCTCAACAAGAATTGGCTATGAAATAAAAAAATCTGCAACAAAACATTATTATCATAAAGTGAAAACAATAAAAAATAGAAAAGAATTGGAAAAAAATGTTAAATGTTTATTATTTCTGCAAGCAGCAGTGCTCCGTGTTGCCGACACCTCATCATTTAGCACCAACTTTGCAGGCTTATATCTCAGTAAGTACTGACCCTAAATTTTTTTTTATCCTATAACATTTATAAAAATGCTCTCCTCAATTTAAAAAAAAAAAAATTATTTTTTTATTTTTCAAAATATTTGGAGCGCTGTGCAAGCGAACGTATATCTACGTTTGGACAGTTTAAGGGTTAAATAATGGGGGTATTGGAATAAAATAATGGGGGTATGGGAATCAAATAATGGGGGTATGGAAATCAAATGATGTGGTTATGGGAATCAAATAATGGGGTGTGAGAATCAAATAATGGTGGCATGGGAATCAAGTAATGGGGGTATAGGAATCAAATAATGGGAGTATGAGACTCGCTCTCTGAACAATTTAAAAAAATAAAAAGTTGTTAGAATAAACTATCAGGTGTTCTGTTCCTAGTTATCCATAAGTATAGCAAAACCAAGTTATTGAAGTCATACGGGTACCTAACAGTGACTTGCAAAAGGGAGATAATCAGGTTTGATCTGAGAAAGTGGAGAACAACTCAACTTCCCTGGATCAAGAGACATTGACCAGTATCAAGGCTTTTGTCTTGGAGGATCCTTGCATAAAACCCAATAACATCCTATTCCAAGTATTGTATTCCCCCATGGGTTTAGTGCTTCCTTATTAATATACTGTATGTATTACTATAGAAGCAGAAATTTCTTCAGTGTGCTAAATATACATCATGTTGTCATTGCAGGTGTTATATTGTACACATTCATCCACTTCCAGTCAACGCCGGCCATCTTGACGTCTGTGTGTATTGGTGTGGGTATCATCTTTTGTGGCTGTGCAATGATTCATAATGTCTTTATTTGGCAGAAGGTTAGTAAAGGTTATTTGTAGCCATGTTACTTTTATTTTGTTTTGTACACTTCCAGCCGTAAAACTGCACTACAGCATTTTGATGTGGTATTTTTTGATCCCACTGCATTTTGGTATATAGTGGAACCTCTACTAATGAGTTTAATCCGTTCTGTGACCTTGCTTGCATCTGGATTTGCTCGTTTGCAGAGTCAGTTTTTCTCTTTTAAATTAATTGAAATGCAATTAATCTGTTCCCGTGGAATTCCAGGCACGACAAAACACTTAAATTTCCCTAATATCAACTCTATGGCTTATTTGTCTATCACAATTCATCTAATATGCCATAATAAACAATATAATAACATAGAAACATGATATATACTCTAGAATTAATAAAATACACGTCATTACGTATGTGGCTAGTGGTGGTGACAGCTGCCATTGTTGTTGTTGGGGTTTATAGGGCCACCACAGGAGCATTCCTGCTCCTGACTACATGTGTAGAGAACCTAGGATAACTCAAAAAAGTCAAACAGAGTGACTTATAATTGCTACACTCTTAATGCTATACTTTGTTACTGACTTCTGCTTTAGTATTGTACATATCGAAGAAGTGGTAGGCTGGTACTGCTTGTCCAAGTCCTTAACCCTCCACCTAGTTTGTTTATAAATGATTTCCTGCTTTAATTCCATGGAAATCATCCTATTTTTCTTCTCAGCACTTGCTTTCTTAGGACCCATGGTTGGAAACAAGAAATAACTGCATGAAAAGTAAGGAAAATATGAGAATTCCCTCCACCTTGAGTGGAGTGGACTGAGCGTTGCTATGATACAAACTGCCATCTCGTGATGGCGTTCGGAAACTCACTTATAGGGTACGACAAGCTTGCTACCAGGATACAAGGTTGCTACCAGGGTACAACAGGTTGCTACCAGGGTACAACAAGGTTTCTACTAGGGTACAACAAGGTTGCTACCAGGGTACAACAAGGTTTCTACCAGGGTACAACAAGGTTGCTCAGCGCTGGCGGCCCCGTTCAGGGCAGGAGAAATATCGGAGCTGGAACAAATACAGAGATCGTTTACGGCTCACGTTGAGCCAGTAAAGCACCTAAACTACTGGGAACGCCTACAAGTCTTGAACGTGTACTCATTGGAGCGGAGGAGAGAGAGGTACATGATAATATATACCTGGAAGGTACTCGAGGGCTTGGTCCCATATCTGCACACTGCCATAACAACATACTGGAGTGAGAGATATGGGAGGAAGTGTAAAATAAACCCAGTGAGGAGCAGGGGTGTGGTGGGGACAATAAGGGAACGCTGTATCAACATCCCGGGTCCTAGACTTTTCAACATCTTACCAGAAGTTATCAGAAACACTGCTGGAACAAGTGTTGAAGCCTTCAAGAGGAAACTAGGCAAGTATCTTCACCAGGTGCCAGACCAACCAGGCTGTGATTGATATGTGGGGCAGTGGGTCTCCAGCAGCAACAGCCTGGTTGACCAGGCGAGCACCAGATGAGCCTGGCGCATGGCCGGCCTCAGAGAGTAGATATACTCTCGAAATTCTTCAAAGGTAAAGGTATATCAAAGGGTACAACAAGGTTGTTTTCAAGGTACAAGGTCTGCCACTGCTGCTTCATGTTGTCTGCCACTGCTGCTTCATGATGTCTGCCACTGCTGCTTCATGTTGTCTACCACTGCTGCTTCATGATGTCTGCCACTGCTGCTTCATGTTGTCTGCCACTGCTGCTTCATGTTGTCTGCTACTGCTGCTTCATGATGTCTGCCACTGCTGCTTCATGTTGTCTGCCACTGCTGCTTCATGTTGTATGCCACTGCTGCTTCATGTTGTCTGCCACTGCTGCTTCATGTTGTCTGCCACTGCTGCTTCATGTTGTATGCCACTACTGCTTCATGTTGTCTGCCACTGCTGCTTCATGTTGTATGCCACTACTGCTTCATGTTGTCTGCCACTGCTACCTCATGATGTCTGCTCCCACTTTTGCTAGCATGTTGAAGAGCTTTCCAATATGTGAAGATTGGGGAGCAGTGCCAGTCGGACAGGTATTGGATGGTGAAGTAATTTGTCTACTCTTGAACATCGCCAAAGAATCGAAAATTTCTCCTGCTTTGAGCTCAATTTCAAGGTACTTTTCATTATGAAACCAATTAAAATCATATCTATTTCTATATTATATCTTCCGTTCTATCAAATGAGACAAAAAAAGAGAATACAACCATAAAAACCATACGAAAATATACTGCTAATGGGAGGCTAATGGCTGAAAAGTGAACTCTGTTATTTATGGTCCGATTTCTTTCATTTTTGGTGCACGTTAAGAAGCATCTTTCCATCATACATTGCCCAAGTTTCAATAAGATAGTCCAACAAACTGTGATCCAATTCCCCAGATCAAGAGCCCCTTGAGGCCTGCTCGCATCTGGAAATTTCACTTGCATCTGAAAGCAAAAACTCAACTGAGTGATTGTTCGTATCTGGAAAACCTCGCACATGTATGCACTCGCAAGTAGAGGTTCCACTGTACAGTGGAAGCGATTCATCCCCCCGGTCCGGTTATACTGTACAATTCAGTTTCGAACACTTTTTTTGGCCGAAATTTCCCGTTTTTTGTACATGCTTGGAAATGATCTGGAGCCGACATGGCCGGTCATACTTCGTGACTTGTTGCTTTGATACTCATTCTGTGTAGATTACTTCTCGTGGCATTCTTCTAAAACATTTCATAATAGTCATTATTTTTTGTGCTTGCGGACCTGTAAATAAGGTCACCATGAACCAAGAAAGTTTCGAGTGCCAGAATTTTTTTGTTGCGACAGGGGTCCTGTGATTTAAGTGCTGGTCCTGAGTGCAGTAAGGACAAGAAGGGAAAGTAACCCGACGCGAAGGGCTTGATACTGTAGTCCTTATAAGGGTTGGGGGGATTCCCTTCCAAACTAAGACCTTCCTCCCTCTTCCGCCTCCTCGCTGTCTAACATTAGCGACAAGCAGAATACTTCAGTAAAGGTAAAAGTTGATGTTATAAGATCATTTTATCCATCTAATTATTAACAAAAAAGAGAGATCCATAAGAATTGAGATGTGGAGAGAGGCAGGGAGTGTAGAGGCATGCAGGGAGTGTAGCAGCAGGCAGGGAGTTGTAGCAGGCAGGCAGGAAGTGTAGCAGCAGGAGGGAGAGTAGCAGGAGCAGTGAGTGTAGCGAGGCATGGTAGGCAGTGTGTAGCGAGGAGGAGGAGAGTAGCAGGCATGGAGGGAGTGTAGCAGGCAGGCAGGGCGGGTAGCCAGCGCAGGCAGGAGTGTAGCAAGCAGGCAGGGAGTGTAGCAGGAGGCAGGGAAGAGTAGCTGGCAGCAGGGAGTGTAGCAGGCAGGAGGAGTTGTTAGCAGGCATGTAAGGGAGAGTTAGCAGGACGGCAGGGAGGTTGGTAGTGCAGGCATTGCAGAGGAGAGTAGCTAGGAGCAGGGAGTGTACCAGGCATGCAGAGGAGTGTTAGCTGGCAGGCCGGGAGCATGTAGCAGTGCATGCAGGGAGTTGTTAGCAGGCAGGCAGGGAGTGTGAGCAGGCAGGCAGGGAGTGTAGAGGTTGCAAGGAGTGTACCCGGCATGCAGGGTGGGATGTAGCAGCGTGAAGGGTTGTATCAGGCATGCGAGGGAAGGGTGTAGCAGGCAGGACGTGGAGTGTAGCAGGCAAAAGGCGGGAGTGTAGCAGGGGAGGGAGTGTAGCAAGGCATTGAGGGAGTGTAGCAGGCAGGCAGGAGTTGTAGCAGTCATCCAGGGAGTGTAGCAGGCTAGCAGGGCCGTGTAGCAGCAATGAGGGAGTGTAGTAGGCAGGCAGGGAGTGTAGCAGGCAGGCAGGAGATGTAGAGGCAGGCAGGGAGTGGTAGCAGGCAGGCAGGGTGAGTGTAGCAGGCAGGCAGGGCGTGATAGCAGCATGCAGGAGTGTAGCAGGCATGCCACGAGTTGTAGCAGGCAGGCAGGGAGTGTAGAGGCAGGCAGGGATGTTTTGTAGTCGGGCGCATTGCAGGGAGTGTAGCAGGCTAATGCAGGAGTGTAGCAGGGCAGGCAGGAGAGTGTACAGGCAGGCAGGGTGTGTAGCAGGAGGCAGGGAGTGTAGCAGCAGGCAGGCAGGGAGTTGAGCATGCCAGGCAGGGCGTGTAGCAGGAAGGCAGGCTGGGAAGTGAGCAGGCAGGCAGGGGAGTGTAGCAGGCAGGGCAGGGAGTGTTGCAGGCAGGCAGGCAGGGAGTGTAGCAGGGCATGCAGAGGTGAGTAAAGGCATGCAGAGAGTTGTAAGCAGGCATGCAAGGAGTGTAGGCAGGAGGCAGGGATATGTTAGAGGGCTGCAGGGGAGTGTTGCAGGCATGCAGTGAGTTGTAACAGTGCATTGCAGGGCGTGTAGCAGTGATGCAGGGAGTGGCAGGGCATGGCTGGAGTTGTATGCATGCAGGCAGTGAGTTGTTAGCAACGCATGCAGGAAGTTGCAGCAGGCATGCAGGGGCGGAGTGTAGCAGGCAGGCAGGGAGTGTTAGAGACGCAGGGAGTGTGTGCGAATGCAGGGAGTGTAGCAGGCATGCAGGGTGTGCTTAGCAGGATACTGGGGTGTCGAGTCATGCATGGAAGTGTAGCAGGTAGGAGAGAGTGAGCAGGCATGAGAGTAGTGTTTCTAGCAGGCAGGCAGTGGAGTGTCAGCAGGCATGCAGGGAGTGTAGCAGGCATGCAGGGAGTGGTAGTGGCAGGCTGGTAGTTGTAGCAGGATGAAGGGGTGTAGCGGGCAGGCAGGGAGTTATCAGGTCAGGCAGGCAGGGCGCTGTAGCAGGCAGGCAGGGAGTGTAGTAGGCAGGCTGGAGTTTGAGTAGCAGGCAGGCAGGGTGTAGCAGGCATGCAGGGAATGTAGCGCAGGCATGCAGGGAGTGAGCAGGCATCCAGGGAGTGTAGAGGCAGGCAGGGAGTGTAGCAGGCAGGCAGGGAGTGTAGTAGGCTGGCAGAGAGTGGTTAGCAGGCAGGCAGGGAGTGTAGCAGGCAGACAGGGAGTGTA